TTATGGCATTTCTTAATGATGTGATCATTTCTACTGGGCTGAAGCCACCTCAAAGAGAATGCGATGGTCGCATGGTTCAGTTTTTCCGCACTGCACTATGCGGCATAATAATGTTGCGGCGATGTGCCTATTGGGCAAAACTAAAGTTTATTTTGGTGGTGCATTTCATGCCATTTTATTATGATATGCACCGTTGAAAATATGCATAAAGACACAAAATATTATTTATGGAGTCATGATCAATCCCCTAAGATTTTTTTTGCTTAGGGTATCTATTTTCCAAAGTACATGTTGTCATTTGTTTGAAAACTCTCATTTGCCAAATATTGTTAATTTCTGAATCCTTAGGAATATTTATGTCCAAATTTTCTTATTTGGAAAATGGTATGATATCCTGACAATAATATTAATGCTGTTTTCACTCCAAGTGTCAAGATTAATGTTACACAGTGGAAATGAATTTACATTTATATGTTAATTCTAATGCCATTTTCATTGTATGTCATTGAGAATTTTATTGATAAGTTTAACACTTATGTTTAATATTTATATTATGAATGTCACATTTAGTGTTAAAAGTCATCATTGTGCCTCATAGCACACATGATTATATAATATTGTTGCTTTATGCAAATGTTGGCTATTAATTTAGCCGGTGTTCTTGCTGGTCATTATGTGATTTTATATCTCTCTAATCAAAATAGAACCAACGAGAAGTTTTGATTAGTGATTTAACAAGAAAATAATGTAATGGCATATGGTAATATTCCGACCAACGTTGATTATTTTTCATGTGTCATTTATGAGTAAATAAGGTTCTTTATGTTTGTTTTTTTGCCCAACGGGGATACATATTAGAACAACAATTAAGCATGTATTTAGTTCATCTTATTACATGGTTAATTCATGTTGATGTTTTTATTGTGATGGTGATAAAGTTGCCTCCACTTTTTCCAGCAATGAACATTAGAAATGATGCCATTTTTTATTGGCGAAGACAAGCCTTGCGTAAATAGCGTTCCCACATGAAGAGTGGAGATCCTTATCTTCTGTAAGGAATCTTCCAATGTTTCTGCCACTAATGTTGAAAGTTTTATGTGCCATCATGCACATTACTTATGCAAAGGAGGTTGAAATCAAAACTATTGGATATATTCCACTAGCATTTGAAGATAGCTTAATTCTTCATTGTAGCAATTATGTTGATTTATGCTCCTCATTATGGGAGAAACTTCATTTTGTCTATGTAACAGATGACATGATTATGATTATGATTAAGTCAGATCCAATTATGTGATGTTATTATCGCCAAGAGGCGAGACTTATGTTTATTTTTGAATTATTACGTGTGTTATGGTACAATCAAGTCATAAGAGAGGTGTTCCTAATGAGACCTCATCGAAATTGTGGTCATTTTTTTGTAGACCGCATTTCGGGGGGAGAATGGATGTCTCATTTTAGATGAGATATCACACTCACCTCTCTTACTAAAACCATGACACGGACAACAAAAGTTGTGTAAATTCTCTAAGTAAGATGCAACAAGTCTTATTTAGAAGAATGAATGAAAATCACACTAATGTGCTGACTCTTTTTATCATGTTTATGTACTTACCCCTTATGAGCATTAAGAAACACGCATGAATGCTAAAGTGACAAGCTTGCTAGAGTAATGATCATTATGATGTAACATACTGATTATATATCTGACCAACGTCGTTTATAATTGTGTGACACACTTAACTCAAGTGGCAAGTTTGTCGGTATCATGTGGCTGATGGTTATAGTTTTGACCAACGTCGTTTATAATCACGTTTCACAATTCATTAAGTTCTTTTCCATCTTCTGCCCAACGGTGTTGAGAATTAGAACTGAGATGATTGTTATCAAGATTTTGGATATATTTTTTATCTTCTAAATAAAGTGATCATCGGGGACCTGAAGCTTATGAACATGAATCTTAAGGATAACTCCATTAGATTTTTGTTCATATGCATCATGTAAATTGAGAAGAAATTCTTAATGCAACACTTTGTGTTGAGCCTCAACAATTTCCTCGTGGTTGATAATGCGTGTGAATGGTCATCTTATTGGCTTGTTGCCACATTGGATGAAAATTATGAGCTCTAATGATGTATGAAACTCAATAGAGTTCCCCAAGTGAGTTATTGTGACGCTTGCGTTATTACTAACACACGCTCTTTGTGTCGACTTAGTTGAGAATGTACATATAACTCAACAGTAAGGTTTTGTCATTGGTAAAGTTGACATAAGGCGTGCTATCTAAAGAAATACAATTATTAAATAAGGCAAGTGTTGGGACACTCATACCATAAGACAAGGGGGAGTAAGATTACTACCTTGTGAAGATGGTTTTTTTGGGCGAGCAAAAAAAAAAACTATCTTCTATTTATGACATAAAGGATCCTGGTGATGCCTCATACTTTGCTTGTATTGATTTTGCCAAGATATAGGTCCAAAAGGAGTATAAGTTTTATTGTGATGACATACGTTGATAGAGTACAAAAGAAAATATTATGTGGTAGTACTCTATCACACCTGCCATTAAAGTCAAGGGCGATAAAGGTGGACATTTTAGTGTCCAAGGAACCATTATGAACTGATCAGATAATGTCGGTTCCTTATGCTTTAGCTATCAGAAGCAATATGTGTATTCAAATATGAACGTGCCCTTGTTTCTAATTGGGATACTTGGCAAATATACAGGTAAGTCCAGAAATGGACCACTGGAAAAGCCGCCAAATGTCTTGCAGATATGCAAAACAATAAAGATTACATGCTCACTTATAAGGAGTCTAATAACTTTGATATTCTGAGTTATTCAGACATTGTTTCTGCGAGATGTGTGGATCTTAAAAGTTTCCACGCTATGTTACATCCTCACTCTCACATATGGAGCTATATCGTGGAAGAGCTCTACAATGACACCGATGGCATTGGAAATAATGCATTTACTTATGTGGCATGTTAAGAGGCTATTGGGCAGGTTGTATGTCAAGAAATATTAATCTCGGAATTGAAAGTGGTAGACAACACCGATAAACCACTTACTGCGATTATGAACACGCAATTCTCTATGCGAGTAACAACAAGTCAATTGGTATTGCCAAAACCATTGTCATTATGTCTCATTTGTGAAAGATAGAGTCCAGGATCAAACCTATGGTGTTTGATTTATAAAGCATTGTGGTACCGCTTAGTAAAGGCTTACCACCCATTTTATGAATATGTTGCCGGCATGGGTTCATAAAGCCTTATTGATCCTGGAAATTAGGACCATTAAATAAACCAACTCCTATAAAGAAAAATGTTATCCATTTCGAGATAGAATGGTATACTATAAGGATTGAGGTTCAGTGACACTTCATTGGCCATTGCAACACCTTACTTTGGTATATTATTTTTATTGAGAGTGGGCTTATGATATTTATTAACCTTACGATTAAGGGGGAGAATGTTGGGTTTGATCTCAGGTTATTGTTAACTGAGATAAAAATATGGGAGACAAAGTCTCCTCCCCTAACGATTGTGCTCTGATCGGAGGCACCCATAACCGACTTTTGGTTTTGGTCCCTGGTCCATCTAGCGCCATATATAAAAGGAGGAAGTCGTACCCATCAAGGGTACTCACGCACATGTACAGGCTAAAACCCCAGACTCCTAACAGCCGATCCAAAAAGGGCGCTAGAAGGGATCAGAAGGCCATCTCCACCGCCGGCCACCGCAAGGTCGTGCCGGCGGCTTGCTGCCATCATCTACGTGGCCTTTCTGCCGCTCATCTTCATCCACCGTTTTCTCGTTGCTGGAGATCATGGAATACGCTATGCCTGCATCGAGCAGGCACGAGACCTTACACAATACCCGTAAGATCTCATGAACTCCTTCTCTGTTAATCTGTTTTAGGTGATCTAATTCTAGGCTTAAGATCCTGTGACGTTTATCCCTAAGGATTTTTTCTAACACTAGCCTCCTCTTACTGATGCACCACAGTTTGTCAACTAAAAAAAACTGTGGATTGGTTTTGCACAGCTTCCTTGATGCAGACAATTGGGCTTGTCTCCCAGGGAAATGGCAATTGGCAAGCTAGGGATACTATCGGCCATTTGCTTTTGATGATGGGCGCTTTTATTTACTCAAAATGTAGCATCAAGCGTATACACTATCGGTTGTTTGTTTTCAGATGGGAATTAAATTAAGTACCAGTTCTGAAGAACTTACTTGATTGAGGGTTTGGATACGCAGCGGTGGCGTCGCTGCTGCTGCAGATCCCGCCGAAGCACAAGCAAGCAAGGAATTGCTTGTTCTCGCCGTAGGCGCAGCGTCCCTTGGATTCCTCGCAATGGTTGCATTGCTGCTCCTTGCTCTGCTTCCATTCCAACTCGAACCCCTGCTTAAGCACGGCACCGTATTCCCTCGGCAACACGACCGGACCACTTCTCAGAGCATTTTTCTCGAGTACCGGCGCGATGACCTTGTGCTTGCAGTACTCAGCCAGTTCATAGTCTCGAGAAACGTTGCCTTCCTCAGAGCTGAAGACAAATGAAAAACCGTCTCTACTGCCTGGAGGCGGACTGAACCCTTTGCAGTCGATCTGGAACTTGTCTCCACTAGTGACACTCTGTTTGTCTATGTATTCACACATGTACTAAGTTTCCGGTTAATACAATTCTAGCATGAATAATAAACATTTATCATGATATAAGAAAATATAAATAACAACTTTATTATTGCCTCTAGGGCATATTTCCTTCATCGATGGGATCGACGTTTCAAAAGCTCGAAGCTAGGATTGAAACCTGAGACAGCTGCACAAAAGAGTGCTATATGGTCACTGTCGGACAATAATTTGGTGGATTCTCCACCACCTACATACACACTCACAAGTATTCAAACTTTAGTCTTTTTTGAAAATTAAAATTTTCAGTCTGTTTACAGATTAGGCAATACTGGAGCAAGTTGACGAGAACAATATAAACCTATCAACTCAAGAGCACTTTTGGTGGCAATTCAAGGCCAGTAGTGCTCCCTTCAAGCATCTCGACGACTCTAGTCATTGTTGAACGATATGTAGAACGTAACTGAATGCACCACAGCCCAACCACTATCATCTTCCTCACAACCTCCGTGATTTCTCCATTAATCTCAGAAGCACTAACACAGTATTCATCTAGATTTTCATAAATCCATTGAGGGAAATATTGGCTGCTAGATTCATTATTTGGACTGATATTCTTATCCCTTGCACCAACCATCTCAAGAACCATCATTCCATAACTATAAACATCAGACTTGCTACTTACTGCTCCATATTGCTTCGAATAAACCTCTGGGGCAATATAGCCTATTGTTCCTCTTGCACCACCAATGGAAATAGCACTTTCTTTATTGAGGCACAGCTTGGCTAGTCCGAAATCAGAGATCTTTGGACAGAAGTTTTGATCCAACAGAATGTTCTGGGGCTTGATATCAAAATGCACTATGCGAGTGTTGCATCCTCTGTGGAGATATTCAAGGCCTCGAGCAATGCCCACTGCTATATCAAATAATTTCTCCCAACCTAAAGTATTTCCACCTTCGGAGCTATCTTTGAAAGCATACCTTTCAAGTGAACCATTAGGCATGTAGTCATAAATTAGTGCCCTTTTGGATCCTTCCAAGCAAAATCCTAAGAGAGTAACAACGTTCACATGAGAAGTTCTACTAATGCTACCTAACTCATTTATGAAATCCTCGCCATCAGTCTTGAAGTCCTTTAGCATCTTCACTGCTATCTGACGACCATCAGAGAGGTCGCCTCTGTAAACAGCACCAAACCCACCTTGACCTAGCTTTTCAGCAAAAGATCTCGTCATTCTTTTCACTTGTGCGTAAGCGTATCTTTTCGGATGGACCGTTCCATTCTTTTGTAGGTAGGACTCAATCCTGGCTGTTTCCTTTGATTTTCTTTTGCATCCGTACTTCTTGTAGCCCAACCAGAACGCAAAGAAGAGTAGACATAGCATAGGTATGCTCGAGCTGACTGCTATTATATCTGCGCAGAAAATTTGGAGGGAGAAAGGCATCAAAAGGGGAACCAACTTACACGATCTTCCAGTTAACAACTGGTGTATTTGCATTTTGTTTACTGCATCACAGTAGAGGCATGAAATCAGTGCAACTATAGAAGAACACAATATCTAGTGTCACGCAGTACAGAGAACCTCGAGTTATTGAAGGCCATTGTTGACAAACCTACTGTATTGTATATTCTAAAAGGCTAGCTATATTATATTTGCATCATAAACTCTGAATTAGCCTGCATGTCATGAACTAGTGCCACTTTTCAGATAAACCGGACACGGTTGCTAAGTACATACTCCCTCCGTTCCAAAATATATGACCCAACTTCGTACTATAGTAGTACCAAGTTGGGTCATCTATTTTGGAACGGAGGGAGTACATATGAAGCAGAGTTTGTTACAGATGCAATATGCAAAACAATTTATCATGTGGTTGAGAGATATTTCTTACATATTCTCGTTGTTTTCTTCGAGTATTGACGACCTGCAAAATTTGAACATGAGTGCCTATGAGTATATGGAAGATGCATTTATTCACAAAATATAAACTTTACACTTCACAACTGATACAACAATTAGTTTATCATACAAATTTAAAAGGAAGGTAACATTAGTAATTTTATTGCAGGAACAACTAGTCCTCATTTCCCAAGAATAAAAGTGATCATCATTTCTATGTACAAACTTTGACAGAGATAGTTTTAACATTTCTATGTAACAGTCATTTCTTTAGTTTCTTAAAGAAAGAAAAATCATCACTTGAAGTTGATCTTACTTCCTAGCCATAAAATCTGGACCTATTGAAGTCTCTTAGCAATTTTAGGATCAATGGTGATGGATTTGTTTGAGATCAAAATGGTGTAACTGTTAATTGTCCACATACCACATGTCCTCTGTATTTCAGTGCAGATACTCATGTCAATGTGTAAGTGAATATTGCCAAGTGATGAAAATGATTTACTCCCTCGGTCCCTATGATCCACATTAATTGACTCAGCCTTTATTCAATATTGTATAAAGGTTGTACAGAGGCTGCGTCAATTAATTTGGATCGGAGGCAGTAATTATTTTTGCACATGAGAAAATGGCGATGATGCACTTTTGATTTTGTTCTCAGTACTAATCATCCAAAAACGACCAGGACTAAGTTCACAATGCAATGCAGACCTAGACGCATCATTCATATCGATAAGTCATGCCCAAATACAATTAGAGCAACTCTAATCCATCCCCAATAATTTCGTGAACTCCCCAAAAAAAACTGCAATTTTCGGGAGTTAAGCCCATCTAACCCATCCCAAACAGATGTCTAAATCCCAAATTTTTTTTGGGAGCTCCCAAAACACACCCTTCCCGAGGCTGATGCCGAGGAGGAGGCTCTAAACGCCACCATTGGTGCCTCTGTAGCCGAGGCTGGCGCCAGGTCCATTGGAGAGAGGTTGAGGAGGCCCATCGGTGACCACATGTGTACTATTTATAATCAGTTTGATCAGTGAAATATATTTCCTCCATTTCAAAATACTTAAAGTTCTAGGTTTATCTTAACTCTAACATCTTTAAGTTTGATCAAGTCTATTGAAAAATACAGCAACATCTACAACATCAAATTAGTTCCATTAGATACATCACAAAATAAATTTTCCTACTATATATTTATATGATCTTGAGCGCAAGGAAGACTATGTGAGCATGGTGTTAGAGTCAAATCCATTTAATATCCAATTCAGGCGAGCTCTCGTAGGGGGTAAATGGACTGCGTGGGTGCATTTAGTTAGACGGTTGATACATATTAACCTTGTGGGTTTTGCACGGTCAAATCTATGTATATGGATTTAATCGACTCTGGACCAGTTATTTTGGAGGATTACTTCAAAATTAATTGCAGGCTCTCTTACACCTGACGAAACAAGTTTGCCCGAGAGAGAATGCCAAATACACCTAGACGGCAACTTCTTACAAAGAAAAAGCTTGAGATTCAAAGAACTTACGGGCTTTATTGCAATTATTATCGGAGTGTACTCGGCCGTCAGGGCACAAGCAGCCTATGAAATCCCCGGTCCGGTTGTGACCGCACCGTCCCTTGGAATTGGCTCCCTCGCACTGGGTACATGCAGTGGGCCTCCAGCTGGAACTCCCGACGAAGAAGACTGGCATATCCACTCCCGTTTGTCCATCCAGGGTCAGTAAGGTTGATCTCGCCGTATTTGTGCACAGGCAATTGTATGACTTGGCTGCATGTCGTGGTTCTAAGCCTGACAGTAGAGTGGGGGGTAGGTATTGAGAGGCAAGGTCCTAGCTATGGAGAGGTTGTAAGCACAAAGGATGTACGAGTTCAGGCCCTTCTCGGAGGAAGTAACAGCCCTACGTCTCGGAGCCCGGAGGCGGTCGAGTGGATTATGAATGTATGGATTACAAGGTGCCGAACCCTTCTGCCTGTGGAGGGGGGTGGCTTATATAGAGTGCGCCAGGACCCCAGCCAGCCCACGTAGGAGAAGGTTTAAGGTGAGTTAAGTCTGGGACATTACTGGTAACGCCCCACATAAAGTGCCTTTACTATCATAAAGTCTACTTAATTACAGACCGTTGCGGTGCAGAGTGCCTCTTGACCTCCTGGTGGTCGAGTGCGTCTTAGCGGTCGAGTCCTTCAGGCCAGTCGAGTGTGTCCTCGTTGGTCGAGTGAGTCCTCGTTGGTCGACTGGAAGGCGACCTCTTCTAGGGATGTCTTAGGGTAAGTTACTTGGGACAGGTCCGTGACCCTACCCTAGGTACATAACCCCATCATTAGCCCCCGAATGGATTGAGGCTTCGAGTGAAGAAGGAGTTGATGTCGTTTCCGATTAACCTTTGCGCTCTAGTTGTGCGCTGTTCTGGATCAAAGAATCTCTTCGTTGACAAGGAGCAATTCGTCTTCGGTCGACTCGATCCATTCTATTTTTGCGTCGAGTGATCTTTCGAGCTTCGTCGATCTCCGAGCGACGGATCGCCGGAATCGCCGCGTCTGACAGGCAGATTTGTTGTTCGCGGATTCTGCGGGGTGCGAAATTTGGGGGCGCGCGCGAAGCGGGGCGGACCGCGGCGTTCGGATGGGACGGGGCGTAGACGCCTCGATCTCCGCGCCGCCTTTTTCGCCACGTATCCAGTCTCCATAACTGCTCACAGATATGATTAGATCGACCGGGCCCACACGTCAGCCACTCGGAAGGGACCTTATAAATGTGCCCGGCGAGGATTTCTGTGCTGCGCCTCCGCATTCTCCCTCTCTCCCTCTGCTCCCTTCCTCCCTGCTCAGCGTGCCTGCTCTCGCCTCCGCACCGCTCCCCTTCGTGCATCCCACCGGCGACCATGGCCAAGGAGAAGACGGCGGCGCTGGAGCGTGCCAAGAAGGCGTCGGCATCGGAGAAGGCGAAGGGGAGATCCACAAGCCGCCGAGGATCCTCGTCCAGATCTCGCCTGCCGAAAGGCTGGGTCCAAGGCGACTGGATCCAGTCGACCATCACGGAGAAGGACCTCCTCGACATGGCCGACGAGGGCTTGATCCCTCACGGAGCTGCGAGGTTGCCGGGGAAGGAGTGGCAGCCACAGCCAGAAGAGGGTGAGTGTGTGCTCCTGGCCACTCATGTCGATCGGGGGTTTTCCTTGCCACCGAGCATTTTCTTCCGGGGTTTCCTGAATTTCTTTGGAGCGCAGCTCCACCACTTTACCCCAAACTCCATTGCCTACCTTGCTGCGTTCGTGTCCATGTGCGAGGGTTTCTTGGGCTGCCGACCGCACTGGGGTTTGTTCAAACGTATCTTCACGTGTCGCTCTCAGACCGTGAAGAAGGCGAGCCCAGGCGACGAGAAGACCCGAGTCGTACAAATGTGTGGGGGCCTGGGGATTCAGGTGAGAAACAATAGCACCTTCCCGCCCATGTCTTTTCCCGAGTCCGTCAGGGGCTGGCAGTCGACTTGGTTCTACTGCCAGGTCCAGTCGACGCCAGGGCAGTCGAGTGGACTCCCTCAGTTTACCATGGACCGAGTGAACAAGCCCTCCCCTCTGAAGCTGATTCCGGAGGAGAAAGCCGACGTGAAGATGTTGATGGAGCGAGTGGTGCAGCTGGTTCGGGACGGAGTGACAGGCATGGACCTCTTGGAGGTTTTCCTCAAGCGCCGCATCCAACCTCTCCAGTTCCGGAGCCACTGCATGTGGTTGTACTGTGGGCCCGCGGACGAGACCAGAGTCCATCCAGAAGAAGTCGACGATGTCACTCTGGAAAGGTGGATGGTAGCCGTTACCGGGAACAGGGACAACCCGCGCGGAGCCAGAAGGATTCCTCCACTCGACCATGACAGCGTCCCAAACAAGGTACACTTGCTCTGCTTTCCGTCGTGTCTTTGTTGTATTCATTTCTGCCGATCCTGTCGACTGGTCGACTGATCGTTGTTTGGGCGACTGCTAGGCCTTCACCGAGCTGTACTCGATGCCCAATGGGGCACAAACTTCGACTGAAGAAGGCGAGGCGAGCGGGGGCGAGGCGAGCGGAGGCGAGGCGAGCGGGGGCGAGGCGAGCGGAGGCGAGGCGAGCGGGGGCGAGGCGAGCGGAGGCGAGGCGAGCGGGGGCGAGAGCCAGGGAGAGGAGGAATGGGACTCGGATGCTGCAGGGGATGACGGCGACGATGATGATGATGAAGGTGATGAAGATGACCTCGAGGACGAGGAAGAAGAAGAGGAGGAGGTCGTTCCACCGCGCTCAGAAAGGCGGTCGAAACTTGTCCACGACCCCTCGACCGAACGTGGTAAGGGGGTAGCGACCGCTGCCCAGTCGACCAAGCGCCCTCGGACCACCTCTCCGGCGCCGACTGAAAAGGCGCCGAAGCAGCCCAGGGCGGCCTCATCGAAGCCGGCCAAGCTTCTGCCGAAGATGAAGGTGTCCATCCCCACCATTTCAGGGTAATAGTGTTGTTCATATTTTCTTATTCTTATGCGAACTTTATCTCTGGTCGACACTGATGTTAGTCGACTGATCCTTTGGAGTTGCAGTGCTGCTACTTCTGAGACCTCGGCCCGGGCCGATGACCACGAGATGGAGGATGCCGCAACTTCGAATCCAGGTGCCGTGTTCTTAATACCATTCTTAGTCGACTGACTCGCGATCTCTGATCCTGACACTTCTCTGCAGCTCCACCCAACACTGTTATCGATCTACCTGATGATGATGAGGATGAAGAGCCGCTGAAGCCCAGGAGGAGTCGGAAAGCGCCTGCCGGCAAGGTGTCTCAGGATGCTTCAGCACCTGAAATTCTGACTGTGGAGGGAGAGAACACCACTCGACACACGGTGACCTTCGCGACCCCACTGACGAGTGCTCAGCAGCCTTCCCTCTTCACGACTCACCACGTCCCAGAGGACCAAGCTGGTGCGGCGAAGGAGGCGATACGCCAGGCGGGACTCATGATGGAGCAGCTGAAGACCATCCGGGATGCGAGTCAAGCAGCTTATGACGCC